CATTGGAGAATTAAAATTAATAATAAAGATTAATATTGTTTAAAAAAAACCCTACAGCCTTCAATATGGATTACATCTCAACATCAAGAAAACAAAATTCCTCAGCATTGACCAATAGGCAACATCATGATAGATGGAGAAAGTATTAAAGTTGTCAATAATTTCATCTTAGTTGGATCCACAATCAACAGCCTTGGTACCAGTAGTCAAGAAATCAAAAAGTATTGGGAGAATCTGCTTGTCAAGGCCTTCTCTGAAGTGCTGAGTGAGGAGCAATGATGTCAGTATAAAGACTAAGGTGGACCTGATTCAAGCCATGGCCTTTCCAGTTACTTGCTATGCATATGAAAGTTGAACAGTGAGTAAGGATGACAAAGTAAGGATTGTGCTGCAATCCCGAAGACACGCTGTTTGAATCCAGCAGGTGCTCCCCTGGAGAAGGAGAGGCAATCTCCTCCTATGCCAGTGCCTTCAGGTTGTGATGCTGGATAGTAGTATTGAATATCCCATAAACTGCCAAAATAATAAACAAGTATTTCTTAGAGAAAGTGCAACCATGGTATTCCTCCGAGGATGTCGAAGCTTCATCTCGCATACTTTGGGTATGTGGTTAGAAGGGGCTGGGCCTTGGAAAAAGATATTATACTTGGAAAGGTTAAGGGCCTGGGGAAGAGAGGAAAACCCTGAATGAAGTGGTTGACACAGTGACTGTAACAATGGGCTCGTGGTGAGGATGCCACATGATATGGCAAGGTCCAGATCTATTGTTCATAAGGTAGCCATGAGTTGTACTTGACTTGATGGCATCTAACAGCAACCATGCTAATCCAGGAGGCTCTGGTGGCTTAGTGGTTAGGATCGTACCGTGAAGACATGCAGTTCAAGTTCACCAGCTGTTCCCAGGGTTTGAAAGATGTGCAGTGGCCTGTTAATTCCTCCAGCCTTGGAAACCTGATGGGACAGTAGCCTTGAGTCAGAATTGACTTAAATGCTGTGAGTTTTAATTTTGATGGTGTTGATGTTGTCTTAGTCCTGGAAGGCATTCAGGTCCCTTTTAGCCTCCTGCCAGTGTTGTGCTGTGCCTGAATTGATGCCTCAGGCCAGGTAACAAGATTCGTGCAGAAACTTAAGGAGGCTTTGAAAGAGCACTTGGCTTTCTAACATCAACTTTCTGGTAAATGAGGTTTATATTAAAGAGCCTGGTGGTGTGGTTGGTTAAGGAGTCGGCTTAAGTGATTGGTTACTAACTGATAGGTTGACAGTTCAAACACACTAACTACTCCATAAGAAAACGAGGTGGCATTCATCTTTTGTAAAGATTTGAAACCTTGGAAATCCTATGGGGCAGTTCTACTCCATCTGATAGGGTTTCCGTGAGTGGGAATAGATCCAGTGGGTGCAGGGTTTATTTTCATCTGCACCTCCAGGCAAAACTGAGATCACTACTAGAGGTTTGTTTTACCCTGAGGCATAGGGTCCAATCATTGATAATACTTTTGCTGTAAAAAAGTCTTGGTCAAGTGGCAACAGACTAGACTGTGTTTAAAAGAGTTAGCAGGCCTGAAGGTACTAGTCTCTGAAAGGCTTCTTTGCAAGGCTGGCCCTGGCAGCTTGGATGTTGAGAGGGTCCCACCAATGTGAACATTCCTTAGAGGCAAGAGGGCAAGACTTCATCTCGGGCACTTTGGACATGTTATCAGGCCCTGGAGAAGGATATCAGGTGTGGTAAAGTCATGCTCCTTGTTGTTAGATGTCACCCATTGACCCCCAGCGAAAATCCCAGTCCCTGAGTGTCCAGGGTTCATCCTGGTTGACATTTTACATGTATGGTCACAGTTTGTGGCTGGAAGAGTTAGATGACTCCTGTTGAACCCGCAGGAAAATTGTAGGAGGCCTGCACTGGGTTTCCTCCAGATTTGGCCTCATGTGCTTCTTCCCCTTTGCTGATTTTTCATCCTGTCTTTTTCTCCTCTAATAAATCAGAGATGAATACCACTATGGTATTCTGGGAGTCTCCTAGCCAGTCACTGAAGTGGGGAGTAGTTTTGGGGACTCCCAATACAGGGCACAAGGAAATTTGAGGATATTGGTAATGTTCCCTTTCTCCATTAGGGTACTGTTTACACAGGATGTGTTCAGTTTGTGAAAGCTCATTGGCCTGTAAGCTATGATCTGCACACTTTTTCTTTGACTATATTAAACTTAAAAAGTTAAAAGGCAAAAAAGAGTGTTTATACACACAGTATAAATAAATAAACATATATGTACAATTTAGTTTTTAAAAACTTGCATATCAGATTGTGATGAGAGGAGGGCATGAGGCAGAAAAGACAGCGTCATTGTCTATTTTTTTCCCCATTAGTTTATTTACAAAATTCTAATACAAATTCTTTCAATTTCCCTCACTTCTCTCCACCCATCAGATTGTATAACCCAATGATTAATCCCCTCTTCCCCCTGTACATCCACATCCCTCTGCTTCCAGCCTCTCCCACCCCTCCTGGATCCTTATACTCGTTCTACAATAACAGTCTTATACAATATTTATCCTTGTGGGGCTGAGTTAGTTCACTCAGCATAATGTTCTCCAGTCCCTCCCAAGTTAGGTAATAATTTACAAAGTTATTGCTGCTGTGTGCTGCACAGTATTCCATTGTGTGAATGTAGCATAATTTCTCAATCCATTCATTTGTGGTTGGACATTTAGGCTGTTTCCATGTTCTTGTAATGGTAAATAATGCTGCTATGAACATTGGTGTACAAATATCAGTTTGTGCCTCAGTTCTCATATTCTGAGGGTATATTCCAAGTAGTGGAATAATGGCTGGGTCATATGGAATTTCTATGTTCAGCTTTTTTTTTTTTTTATGTTCAGCTTTTTGAGGAAGTGCCAAACTGCCTTCCAGAATGGTTGCACCATTTTACAACCCCACCAACGTATAAGAGTTTCTTTCTCACCATATCCTCTCCAATATCTATTTCTTGTTGCCCTGTTAAACTTTGCCACTCTTACAGGAGTGAGATGGTACCTCATATGGTTTTGATTTGCATCTCTCTTATTGCCAGTAATTTGGAGCATTTCTTCATGTGTCTGTTTGCCAATCGTCCTTTGTGAAAATTCTTTCCATGTCTTTTGCCCATTTTGTAAGTGGGTTATCAGTGTGTCATCATTGTCTCTTTAATTGGGAAGTGCTTACCACTGGTTCTGGCTGTTTTGGTCAAGGATTTTATTATAGGGTGCCAAGAGGCTTCTAACTTGGGTATTTTCCATTCCAGGTTTGTCACTCACATTAGACTGATGTGTATCTCTATCTCTTTATCTATATATGAAGAGGGTGTAGTAGAGATGTGGAGATTAGGAAGACATGTAGGCCTACTACTGTTAACTTATATATATACATATATATTTAGAAAAAACCCACAAATCTGATTTCCCCCTTTAATGTATGTTGTCTTGATTTTTTAAAAAATTAATTTTAATGAACATTTACAGAGATTTTGGATTTCCAGACATTCATTGTTGCATTTTTCTCCCTGCCCACCCTTCCCCCATTGTCTTGAGTTTTTAAAATGCTTAAGAATAAATTCACATATTTATACTTAAATGGCATTATTTATTTGCTGCTTAATCCAGGATCCGCTTAAAGGAAAAATAAAATTATAACTGTTAATGTTAATGAATTAGAACCTTCCAGAAAGCATAAATTCAAAAGGAAATATCTAACAGGTGATGCAAGCCAGCTATTTTGTGGCCTTTCATATTTCAGTTTCCAAGATTCTAAAGATCAAGGGGGAGGGGGAGGGCTAGGATGGGGGAATATTCCCAGTTTTATTCTTTTAGAGGACAATTTTCCGACCTGTTACTGAGGCCAAACAGGGCATTCTGCTGGCCACATTTGGCCACAGCCTGTCACTTTGGCAGGGATCTCTGGTGTAGGTCTTCCTCCATGAGGAATTTTGACAGTTAACCCAAAAAATGTCACTGCTCAGGAGGTTCGAATCCACTAAAGGGAGATAGACGCGCGGTCTACTCACATGCCATTTACAGCTTCCAAAATCCTGCTGGAGAGTCAGCAATGAGTCGGTTCTAACTCAAACTGAGTTGAGGAGCCATCCCTGCCGTTGACCAGCAAACTGAGCGTCCACATTTTTAGGCGCTGGGATCATAGTGAGCACTCAAACTGCAGTGTGCCTAGCAATTACCTGGGCAATCTGCTTGTGACTCGGAAGGTCTGGGCTGGAGCGGTTCTAAGGGCACCCAGGTGCTAGTGATGCTGGGTTCCCGGATGGCAGTAACAGAAGGAACCTTGCACTGTAAGCAGGAAGCCTGCAGGACTTGCTGTGGGGGTGCATGCACCGTGACCAGACAAGCACAGTGTTTTTGCGTATGTTATTAGGTGTAGCTGGAAGATTTGATTACAGTGGCGACGCGTGTGCAGCCTCTCCTAAGCTGCCCCCAGCCGCTGATAGGTTTCTCACGCGCAAGGCTTCCGTAGGGCGGGGTGGGAGCGGAGAGAGGTGTCGGTGCACGTGAATCGCAGAACTCCCCCTCGACACCCGCGATCGGGAGACACGCTGATCTCCCCCACCCCAGGCACTAAGTCCTGGCAATCCCAAGCCAAGGTTGGGGTTCCTGGGCCCCCACTTGCGTGCCCTAGCCCACCGGATTTTCCTCGTCTTCCTCCTGCTGCTTTTAAAGGCTGGCTGCTTTGCAGAGCGCTCCCATGGTGCCGCGCGGCGGGCGGGTTTGGATTTTAAATCCCCACGACCAATCAGGGGCTCGCAGGCTTCTGTAACGTTCCCGGCGCTGCGTTTGAATTCGAGGAGGAGCAGAGTGGTGCCGAGCCTCTGCCTCTTCCCAGACCCTGGTCCTGTCCGCAGAGCAAGTCGGAGCCATGAGCGTGGCGAAGGCGTCAGGGAAGATGGTACGGGGACCGGTCGAGATTGGGAAGGCCAGGCCCCCGAGAATCTCGGCTCTCGGCGCCACGGCGGCTGCCCAGCCGGCGAAAGAGATCCCGGAGATCCTAGTGGACCCGCGCACACGGCGGCGCTACCTGCGCGGCCGCTTTCTGGGCAAGGGAGGCTTTGCCAAGTGCTTCGAGATCACCGACCCGGAGTC